ATTCAGTTACATGTAGTCATTGTTGTGACGAGTCGACATGTAATGCTTACTCATTCGGGGCACCTGATCACACCTGTGATGTTTTCAAAGACCAGTGTTTGTTCTGCTCACAATTTGTATTGGTTTTAAAATTGGTCTTTTGAGCATGAATACTGTTTGTTATCTTCACATTTAATGATCCCTCTTTGTTTTTCTCACCTTTTTCACGTCTGCTGTGTTAGGTGCAAATGTGCAAGACGTATTTTTATCGTGCTGTTTAATGGAATTTTAAGGGGTTTTTTTTTCTTTTTCTTATATTTCCCAGTAAATAACTTGCTAGAATTGCACTGTAATGTTAAAAAGAAGAAGATTTTGTGATTTACATATTCATACATTTAAAATCATTTACATTTGAATGTCTATTACAGAGGACCCCTATAGGTTAGTGATTTATTTACACTATATGTCGACGGCGCTAAAATAGCTTTTATCATTGAATTAGACTCAATTGTGAAAATATCTACAATAGAACCCCTGACCCATTTTTCAATTTTTGAAGAGGCACCCTTGCACTACGTTCGTTTACTAAATATGAAGGATCAGAAAAGAAGATTTTCAAAGAATCATTTTCAGTATATAATCAAATACGGCCCCTCGCCCACCACCAGAACCCTTGACCCTGGAGCCACAAATTTCACAATTGTGGAAGATTCACTCTTGCTCATTATAAGTAAACATGTATTCAAATATACAGGGGAAAGGGAGAAGATTTTAAAAGAATTTATAAATTTTCACTGTATGATCTAAGAGTCCCACCCTAACTACAGAACCCCTGAAACTTGTGTCATGAATTTCACAATTTTGTTAGAGGGCAAAGTGCTTATTACAATTATGACAACAGTTCACCTACTTGATTGATTGATTGATTGTATGTTGATTTACGTCCCATTCGAGAATTTTTCACTTATAAAGAGACGTCACCATATACCGGTGAAGGGCTTAAAATTTTGACCTTTACTCGGCACTCAGGGCCATTGAGCAGTGAGGGATCTTTATCGTGCCAACGCCTGCCGTGCCACGGGGCCTCGGTTTTTAAGGTCTCATCCGAAGGACTCGCAACTTTCACTTCAAAGTGCCGAGGCGCATGGCGAAGAAACAGTTGCTACCCATTTTTTATCGACATAGGTCAGTCGCGGCCGAGATTCGAACTCACGACCTCCTGATCACGGAGCGAGCGCTCTACCGACTGAGCTACCGTTTGAATATTGCACTCATTTTGATAGTTTTAGTCCTAAACTCAGGTCCCAGGGGTCGGGAACCATGAAATTAAAAAGTTTTGTCCCACTTCAATCATATATGATATATGCCAAATTTGGTTGAAATTGGTTCAGCGGTTCCAGAGCAGAAGCTGAAAATGATCATGATATTAATGGACAACGCGCATCGCACAACGCACTACGACAGACAAAAAACAGATAACAATAGGTAACTTGAGTGACTCAGATGTCCTAAAAACCATAATAACTTGTTTATTAAAGACAGGTTGTAAAGTTTAGACTAACAGGTAAAATGAATTTATTTGACATTACAAAAGCATTAATCCTCTCCACTACATATCAACATTGGTCAATTACATATAAAACATCGGTCTTTTTCAATACATCAGTCAGTGCTATAAATAATTGTGAAGCCCATTCTTCCACCTTCTTTTTACATTTTCGTATCATATTTAATGTCGGCACCTTAGATTACAAACATGAATGGAAGCTCTCTTTGTTTTCTTAAAGAAAATAGAGAAGAAAATGTAATTAATACAGATCTTGAGAATATTCTTTTTTTAAATGAGAAAAAAAGTTTCAAATATAAACAACAATAAAAATTAAAATCCACAATAATCGTTTGCATACGTAAAAATTCATTCAATAATACAAATGATATTATCACGTGACGCCTCATCAATCATAAATTAACAGACCTGGGCAATAAATATATATGTTATAGGAGTGTAGAAAACTCAAACAGTTGATTATTCTGGTAGAACCCATCGACAATGAAATCTGACTGCTAAATCATTGCAGAAAACTGTTGAAATGCAACTAACAGCAGGTCCTAAGGGGATCAGTGTGTACCTCATTGTGCAAACCTTAACTCTTTTTCAGACATGCTACTCTCAGTGTTTCGACCCAAAGACTTTAATCATTAGCAATTATGAAAATTCCTCGGTACCTGGTTTTAACCTTTTGACCAATGCTGAAATGGCAATGTGTATGATGGTTTGTAACAAGTTTGAGTTGTGTCGCTCCGTGGATTGGATACGCGAAAAAAAGACTTGCCGGCTAAACACAAGATTTATCATCAAAAATGTCAGTGGATTACATGTAATGACCGAAGGTCGCACCATTCATGTTGACCGAGAAAGTTTTCCGAAGGTAAGCAATGTATCGGACGTTAAGAAACAAATATGGCAGTATTTCGATTAGAAGCATTTCAATCTAATAAACGAGTTATCACTCTAAGTTGAATGACTTTCAGCACCTGACGGCCGATTGTCCAAAGCAGGCCTGTACCGAGGATGCCATTTGTCTTCGGGGTAACTGTTCGCCTGTTTTAAAAGGTAACATTTTAGAAGCTTAACTAATTTCTATAGGTGATAATAATAAAAAATTACACATTGGGTAGCATTCAAATCGAAGTTTATTGGAGTTCGATTCGCGATAACGGCGCCGTGTCAGACCTAAAACATTTAACATAGGTAGTGATATTCCTTCGCCAAGCGCCCGGCACTAGAAATGAAAGTCAGGGGTCCTTGGATTAAATCTTAAATACGAGGTTTGCTATCACGGGAGGCGTTAGTACGATGGAGATCTGCTTCGGCCGTAATAATCATGCATTGGTCAAAATTTGTGGCTCTTAATCTAAAACGGGTGTCATGTCTATATGAGTGAAACCTTCTCGAAAGGGACGTTGAACCACATTCAATCAATTAATTTTACAATGTATTGTTTAATACAAATCTGTCTGTGTTGATTACTGGACATTAGTATCTTCCTGATGAGATTTTGTTGGCATTTAGAAATAATGAGGGATGTTGTCAAACTATGTAGTAAAAAGCTTTTTGATTTGAGAGTATCGATATTGTCTAATAATCATATTTTTGAAGGCAATGACTAATTATTTTAGCTGCAATTTCCTGTACACATGCTTATAATTAAAACAATTAAAACATTCAAATTTAAAAAAAAAATCAATAAAAATGGATAATTTAATAATAATTGGAAAGAATTTATTCTGTTTTCTTCTTTTACGAAACATCTTATATAAGAATAGTTCTTGTGTTGATGAAACACACAAACACAGGCACCTGATGTTATTTATTTTAACTATACCCCTACCTAAAATTTACACAAATCAAAATTTTAAAATTTCAAATATTTGTTTTTCAAGAATTTGTAAAATCAAACTGAATTAATTGAAATCTATTTAATTATATTCTTCGAAGTAATTGAGATAAATCAATTACATTTGTAAAAATCAATTGTACATGTAATTTAATTTTAAGTAATTGACAAAAGCATTAATGTATTTGAAGGTATTTAATTACATATTTCAAAGTAATTGACCCCAGCCTTGTAACTAACAGTTATTATTTGTCTACCACTAGTATTTTCTTTGGTAATTTCTAGTCTTAATGCGATTAAAGTATCTTTAACGAAACATAACTCTTAAGCCAGTCTGTAATTGAATTCGATTTTCCTTCGCAGGAAAATCTTTTAAAAAAGATTTAGAGCTAAGATGATAATATGTTTGTTTGTGTTAAAGAATGCAAGCTTTTGTTTACATAACACATGTTCTGACATTCCCCATTTCATTTTTACATAATATTTAATTTATCAAATTAATCAAGATAGGTTAGTTAAGAAGAAAATAAAAAATATACTTAGTTTATATATATATATATATATATATATATATATATATATATATATATATATATATATATATATATATATATATATATATATATATATATATATATATATATATATATATATATATACAGTGAAAAAGCATTAAGCTCTCAAATTTAAAAAATAAAATACTTTGTTTATACAGGAATTTTGGTTACGACAATGCAGACAAAAAACATACACAGGATGATCTCTGCAATTCAGTTAACTGAAAGGTGACTGAATGTCTACTGAGAGGTGACTGAATGGCAGAGCTCTGCCTAGCGATGGATATCAGTTTGTTTATCACCTTGCCTTTAAAAATATTACCTTCGACACTTGCTTTGAAATATATTATGCATATTTCATGTACTTTAAAAACCGAATATCATTACTAAACAATAATCGGTTTTCAAAAGATATATAGGAGCTGGAAAATGAATATCTAAGATTAAAATTAGTTGTATTTACTCTGTAACCCTTGACATGCATTCCTATAAATCAAATCAGTTTTTCTTTCATACACATTTTTACACTGAATGATGTATTTGCATGTGTATAACATAGACTCATCAAGACTTTCCAAAATAATTGTTATCTTCAAATTATTTTTAGCTATTTATTTGAATATTGAAGACATACCGAGAGAAAAAATAGCAAAAAACCTTCATTAGTTTTTGGGTGGGGGTTTGAGGGGAATGGTTTTGTCAATGTCAATGAATTTATAACATTTTATTCTCCAAATATTCGTAATTTTCGTTTCAATCAAAATTGTTAATCCTGATAGACTTCTCATTAATTCTTATTTAACATTTTAATTCACCATGACTTATGAAAAGATATTTTATTCTCCAGATTGTAACTACTAACCCTTCAGTTTCTGTGAAAATATTTTAAATGTACAGAAAGAAAATATTTAGGTTAAAAGAGCATTTGCTCATAAATGAACAAATAGTCAATAAATCTATAAATCTCCATTGAATTATATGTTTTAAAACATGTGAAACAAATAGCAAGTTTAATGAAATTAATTATTGAATTTCTTTTACATTTTTTTTTAATTGAATAGAAAAAATATACAAAGACTGTTCAGATATTGTGAAAAGAGACCCAAGCAAGAAAGGACAAGATGGAGTGTATGTTATTTATGCTGACACCCGGAGAGAGGTCTTCTGTGACATGACGACAGATGAGGGAGGATGGACGGTGAGTAGTGTTCTTATTTTTGAACGATTACTGAATTCTCGTTAAGATTTCGTTTTATTAGACATTTCAACTTTAACTGTAGAAAATCTACGACAGGTACAGATGTTAGAGCTTATCATGAAAACAAATTAAAACAAATCTTTATTATTTGACATTATGGCTATGTGACGTGAAACCTGCCCTGCAACTTGAGCACCCAAATAAGGAATCGCAATCGAAAGACCACCACTTTTCTTAATAATATCATTAGCAAAACATTAAGGAATGAATCCTAACATAGCAATAGACAGTAGAATTTTAATTTGCAATTCTGAGATTTTACTGTACTCACAGGCAAAGAAAAACAAAGAAACTACCCACACGTTCTTGATTTGGAATAATTATGTTTCTAAACCGTTTTACACATTGAGAATTATTGATGTTCAAACAATTTTAAATTACGCAGTTTTGTCCAATACCTCCTCTATATAACTAAATAGTACACATTGGCATATACTCTCGTTTGAAATTTTACAAATAAAAAAGAAGAATATAAAAAAGTGATCCGGATTTCTTTATTATTACAAAATTAAAATATGGAGATAACATAACAGTAATAAAAATTCAATTGAAACACTACAAATCAGGAGCAGAGCTAACAAGTACCTCAAAAAACATTAGAGGTGGGATCAGGATCCATGGAGGAGTAAGCATCCAGTGTCAACCAGTCACATCCGCTACATGTTGCTCAGTATAATTATACATTAATATTATATAATATCGAGTATTTACAGGTGATTCAGAAACGAGAGAATGGTGACTTGGATTTTTACAGGACATGGATTGAGTATAAAGAGGGCTTTGGGAATGCCACTAAAAACTATTGGATAGGTATTATCTTATGATTTATTTTATGTAACTTGAATGACATGAATTTTCATATCAAAAGCAGACTTTTCGTATGAAAAGTATGATATAACCAACTGATATTATCAAGAGTCGACGACAAGCACCTAATGTTTAAAAAATGTTAACCAAAGCACTATTTACAAAACATGAGGACATTCTAACCATTAAACAATGTAGTCATGGTCATTACACTCCGTGTTATTTCTAATATATATATATATATATATATATATATTTCACCAGAGTACACCCAATAGACCGGACGCAATTCATAGCGCTCCGGATTTCTTTCTTCACGACTGTTTATAAGCTTCAAATTAAACATGTAACACTGTAAATATTTAGTGTTTGGTAGTTTAGTAGTAGTGCTAGTTGTTTTTAATTTGTTTCTCTGTTTCCTTTTTTTATGACTTCTTAACTTTTTTCTTTGTCCTGAGGAAGGGACAGGTCGTCCCGAAAATTTGACAATTTTGACTGTTCGTGTCGTTGGTCATTTTTAGTGCTTTATATATATATATATATATATATATATATATATATATATATATATATATATATATATATATATATATATATATATATATATATATATATATATATATATATATATATATATATATATATATATATATATATATATATATATATATATATATATATAGAAAGCACTGAGAAAAACAACACCACTGTATATCCTAAGTGTCGGATCTACTAAGAAGATACAAGGTCAAGGATGGAAATTTATATAAATATTTATATATTTATTTTATTTATTTTGAAATATTTATATAAAGCACTAGAAATGACCAACGACACGAACAATAGAAATTGTCAAATTTTCGGGATGCCCTGTCTCCTCAGGACAAAGAAGAAATTCATAAAAACAAAGGAAACAGAAAAACAAAAAACAACTAGCACTACTACAAAACTACCAAACAATATGTATTTACATTGTTACATATCTAATTGAAGTTTATAAGCAGTCGTAAAAAAAAGAAATTCGGACCGCTATGAAATACGTCCGGTCTCTCGGGTGTAATCTGGTGAAGTGCTTTTTACATAATTGAACGAATTAATTATCGCTAATTAATTACGACCATGTAGTAAATCGTTCACTGTCTTATTCTCTCAAAATAGAGTAACTATATATGATAAAAAAACAAAACAAAGAAAGTTAATATAGAAGGGAAATTTTACAATATGAATTTGGATGCATTATACATTTGGAAATGTTTTTAGGACTGTTTATCGGAAAAAAGAAATAATAAACAAAAATGTAAGCAATAAATCTGTGTGTAGGTTGTTCCAGAATTGATAATGCGAATTAACGGTAAAGTTAACAAAATAAAGAGAGAATAAACTTGTTTGTTACAATCAGGAATTGGGTCTAGTTCACGTTCATCCTATTGAAGTCATTTAGTTTGTTGATACCATAAGGGCAGAATGACTTCAGTCTGTGCATCCAGAACTTTTCCTTGTTTTTTGTCTGGGCATTGGTTCAATTCGGATTATGGTCAATAACCACTACTGTCATGTCCTCCCATTTGTGACCTTCAAGGTCACAATTACATTAATAATGTTTTATATATATATATATATATATATATATATATATATATATATATATATATATATATATATATATATATATATATATATATATATATATATATATATATATATAACATTATTAAATGATATAGGGAATGACGCAATCCACGCCTTAACAAGGGATAAACACCAAGAACTCCGAATTGATCTCCAAAGACATAATGGAGAACAGGCCTATGCTGTGTATACCACATTTTACATCGGAGATGAAAACAATAAATATACACTTACAGTATCTGGATACAAGGGAACGGCGGGTGAGTAGTGGGATCCGCCAATGTAGTAGGATCAAGGTATTGTACAGACCCGTGGCAAATGTGGGGGACCACCCCAAAAATCGGACAAGCAGAAAAAGAACCAAAAAATCAATTGATTAATTGTATGTTGTTTTACATTTCGTTCGAGAAACTCATATAGAGACATCACCATATACCGGTAAAGGGCTTCAAATTTAGACCTTTACTCGGCACTCAGGGCCATTGAGCAGTGAGGGTTCTTTATTTTGCCAACGCCTACCGTGACACGGGGCCTCGGTTTTTAAGGTCTCATACGTAACACCCGCAATTTTTACTTCAAAGTGCCGAGCGCTTGGCGAAGGAACAGCTGATAGCTATTTTTTTATTGACTTTGGTGAGTCGCGGCCTTGATTCGAACACACGACCTTCCGATCACGGAACTGAGCTACCGTGTCAATCAGGAAAAAAAACAAGAAAAAAGAAAAAATACGAAACTCTTTCAAAATGGGTGTGAGGAACTTACAAAAATAATCTGACAAGCAAACATTTACTGAAACTTAAACTGTCAAATTCCTCGTACATGTATTTTCAAGTGCTTGACGTTACAGCAAGAAAGAAGACAAACTAGCATTTATGAATTATGATCTTAGAATGCAGAGCATGTATACTTATTGAAGTACATAGAGACATAGGGTATTTATAATTTTCATTTTTGCGAATATACAAGTTCTTCTACACATACTAGATCTTTTAAAGCTGATTTAAATCCTTCCCATGCCATGGAGCTCTAAGGCTCGCTTACCCAATTAGTGGCTGAAAGTCATTGACTTCTCTTGGATGAGACAGCATCGCAAGTTTACTCCTAGTGTTAGCCTTTGCCCATTTTCGTGTGATCTGAAACAATTTAATGCATAAAGCTATCTTATGCAAGGACACAACACAGTACAAACAGGTTGGATTTGAAATAGCATCCTTCTGTTTGCTTGCCATACTCTCTTGGCCACTGAATCATGAGCTCAGATGTTTTAACCGTTATCTTTTATTTTCGATAAATTTAAGATGCCACTGAACACAAGGCACTATGATATCTTTACTCACAATTTAATTTTAAAACATCGACAAAATCGTATTAAAAATCTGGAATAACATCCTGAAAGTCATTTAAAAGCTCAGATTAACGTGATACTACGTGCTTGTATTAATTAGCACTAGATTTTATATGAATTTTTTTTTGGTAAAAAATACTCACTGTTGCAATCAAGTTATCGTTCTTTACAACATATCCAATGTCCAATTTTAATTTACTATTAGTAAAAAATACATTTTGTCTTTGAAAAGTACATCATTTTTAACTATCTATATTTTAAAAATTTCTCAGGGATAGTAACTTCTTCCTCTCACCATTGATAACAAGTAAATCATCGCAAATATCCTTTCTCTGAATGATGCTTATACGAAGACGTTACTGACCACAAAGAATTTATCGAAAATACGAATAAGTGGTTTACAGAAACATTATGGAACCAAGTTTCAAATTAATATTTAGTGGTAATATTTCGAAATTTATTTCAAAATTAAGGATTATCTCCCTCATGCATAGCTCTGATCCTTCGACGTATTTGGCTCCAGGCTTTGGCAATTTTTTCAGCTCTTCCAATTCTTTTTATTTAAATTTTGGATTCCCAACTTTTCGGCTTGAGCATCACTGAAGAGACATAATTTGTCTAAATGCGCATCTGGTGCATCAAAATTGGTACCGTATATGATTTACATTAACATATACACGGTACACACATCAATCATATTTTAGATATTGCTTTCTTGTTGTTATGAAAAAATATCATACATATATATATTATCAATATCATAGGGTAAATTATTACATGGTATAACATATACCTCTAAAGACATGGACAATGATAACTATAGTGGCGGTTACTGTGTTATGATAAATATTTTATAACACAATAACACTTTGATGTTATCAATATTCTGTTACAGGTGACAGTTTGGCGTATAACAATGGAATGAAATTTACCACTAAAGATCAGGACAATGAAGAGAATAGTGGTAACTGTGCTGTATCACGACACGGAGCCTGGTGGTACAACTGGTGTGCATATGGAAACCTTAATGGAGAGTACGCACAGTCTGCAGTGTCTGGTTGGAAATACACGATATGGTATCACTGGAAACAAACAACTGAAGCGTTAAAACAGACTGTGATGATGATTAGATACAAAAATTAGGTTTATGTATCATCAATCCTAAATTATTTTTAATGAAATTGTACTGAATGTTGACTATTGCTGACTTCTATTTCGCTGGAGAGCGTGGTTCATACGTCAGAGGGTAGCCGTGTTTCATAACAAATGTTTCTCGACAAATTAAATTAAAGTAATTTACATGAAAGTAAAATATTGTTGGTTAGGTGCAGATACCAGATTGGCGTGGTCATAATGACACGAGAGAGCGTAGCTCCTGAGTTATATTTATGACAATTTGTACATTTAGAATAGATTAGATGGAATCTAAATCTTTAATTTTTTAATTATTTAATAATAATTATTTAAGAAGGTTTTTTTCTATTTAATGTATCAAATTTTCTTGGTTGATTATAATTAGACCGATATTGGAATAATTTAAGAAATACCAACGATAATACCAACACTAAGGTAATATCTCACTGGTCATGAGAATATTTTTAGAAAAAGTGAAGAATAACCGAGTGCTTTCTGAACTTGTTTATCATTTGTTAACGAAAGTCAAAGTCTAAAATGCAAGTTCTCAAGTGATAAAGATTGTCTCAAATTTATAAAGAATTTTCATTACTGTTATGTTACATAAAAATATTTAAGATATATGAAAGGTGAAAGATTGTACTCAAAACTAAAATTAGTGCTGGTTACTTCCCTGGATATTAGGTGGAGAGGGGGGGGGGGGCTTATAAGAACAGACACAGGCTGTTACTTTTGAACTTGCTTTATCCATTTGCTGGAATTGTAAAATATGATCCAAGTAATACTGTTACATGGATATGAAAGGTTGGAAGGCGCAAGAGGTATATCTTTAACTTTTATACCGATGCTATAACAAATTAGACTTTATAATGCGTCAATGATAAAACAATGTAGTATAGATGATTCGAAGAAATGTGTCAGTGATAAAACGATATATACAATTGAATCACAATTTCAACAAGTGAAAGGTCAAATTTCCCGGGCTAACATTGTGTCTGACGTCAGCAGACGGGGAGTATGGAAATTAATATGGAATGCCTCGTGTATTCCAAATTATTTTTGTGTCGCCTGCAGAGCAGACCGACACTTCGTCTGTCCGTCTGTCATATCTAATATCTTATGAACTGTTTAAAGTAGTGGGTTGATATTTGGCTCATGTCCTGCTTGAAAGAATGGCTTTTGTAAAATACAAAAGTGGCCTTTGAACTTGACCTTTGACCGACTTTTCAAAATGCACCTTAGTGCCGATTTACACATATACTGTGACTTTTACGGGGTACTTCATACTATTTGGCAGGTGCACTGCTTGTCATAAAACATGTTGAAAAAATATCAGCTTTACAGTCCAAATAACCTTCTCCTTTGGCCTATTTTCAGGAATACCCTAAACCGTTGTTATATTACGAATTCTGAGAGGTATGGTTTTGCTAAATAGTGTTTATAAACATGTTTATAACCTACTGACATGAGTGTATCTTTTATGATAAATATTACTAATTGCTGTTTTAGAATCCGTGGATTTTTTTTTTCTTTTCTATAATGCTAGTATAATATTACAATAAAGAAGATGACCACCCTTTTGTTTAATTAATGTTTTTAATGATGCTAAAGCAGTCGACACATGATTTCCTTGGAACCCTCTAGTTTATTTATTTTTACATATTTATTTGATATATAAATGTAAATATGAGGAAACACTGTCTGTTGGGAATGCCAGGGACACTAACTACAGTAGGAAACGTGGGATATTTAACTATAAAGGACTTTGTCTAATAGGCAAATTATCCACATTTCCAACTGTCAATGCCTTGGTATACCCTGCAGAATAGACAGTGATTCATCAAATGTTGTACAAATAAGAGTTTGTAATCAGTCACTGTTAGAATACTATATTAATGTAGTACAAATAAGAGTTTGTAATCAGTCACTGTTACAATACGACATTAATGTAGTACAAATAAGACTTTGAAAATTAGTCACTGTTACAATATCAGATTAAAAACCCTGTCACACCGGTACTGCGTCCTCACGGCGATAGCACGGCGTCAATAAAAAATGCAAAACGCCGAGGCGAGCGCAGTAGATTCTCCTACAGCGCCGTGATAACGCGGCGAGATCTCCAATGAACGCGGTAGGGTCGCGTAAGGTCTCCTAGAACGCCTTGGGACGGCACGCACTTTGGACAAACACAAAGTACGCGCCGTGTGATCGCGGTCTAATAAAAACGCAGTAAAAACGTAGTATGACCGCTGTAGCAGCGCGGTGAGATCTCCAGCAACGCAGTGGAAGCTCCGTACGTACGCCGTGCAGACGCACATGATTGCAGCATGAACGCAGTGATTGTAAACTGCGCTTCCACGGAGACCTTGCAGAGTCCTTGGAGATGTCACTGCGTTTTCTATTGCACTTTTACGGCGCTTCTAATGAGATTAATCGTCTTGTAATTTTTTTGACTGCGATTACACATCGACCACTAAGAGTTGTCACTGCGATCACTGCGCTCCCTTGGCGTTTCTACCGCGTCCGTTGGCGATCACAATGCACTTTCACTGCGTTGTTAGAGCGTTGTCAGTCAGGTCACAAAACAAAAGCAATGGCCTCATATTTGATCAGCAATAATTCTTACGTGTTTGTTGCACTCCTGACCAGGAGCATGGTAGTAGAATTGGGGAGTAAAAATTACACCAGAACTTGTTCTCTTGTTTCAGTGGAGTTGCAGTGGAATTACTTAAATTTTATAACAACTTTTCAGTGTGTTTTATTTTTTTTAAATTCATAATAAAATCAAAGAAAAGATAAAAACACAACTGAATTGACATAATTGAAAAAGGAAGGATTTTAACAATAAAACTATCAATAATTTAGTACTAAGACGCAGCTTGGTGTGACAGGGCCCTAATGTAGTACAAAATAGATTTTGTAATGTGTCAGTTATTAAAACAATGTTGTGCAGATTATACTGTGCAATTTTTTGTATACATGTATGTATTACAGACTGCGATATGTCAGTTATAAAACATATTGTAGTGCAGATCAGATTTTGTAATGCGTAAAAGGACTGTGTTCATTTCGGTTTAAAAATTCAAATTTTTTTTTTTCATTTTTTGCAGTAAATATTAAAGGTAAAGATAACGAACAGTGTTCAACTTCATAAATACATGTACTGTAAATAAAACAAATCGTAAACAGGGGGAAAACACGGACCCCTGGAAATACATGTACAAGAGGTGGGATCAGTAAAAAGTAAGAAATTAACTGTTTGTTTGTTTGTTGTTTATCGTCCCTCTTCATACGGAGACGCCACCACTTGCTGGTGGAGAGCTGCAAATTTTTGTCATATACTCGGCACTTATGGCCATTGAGCAGTGAAGGATTTTTTTCGTGCCAGCACCTACTGCGACACGGAACCTCGGTTTATATACTGTCTTATCCGAAGGGCTGGTCTCCACGTCCCACAGTGGGATTCGAACCCGCGATGTAATGATCAACTCCTTACTCCGCAACTCTAAAGCAGACGCTCTAACCACTGCGCCACGCGGGCGACGAAATTAACTGTGTTTCTAAAGTTGATTTGTAATAACTATTAATAAATGAAGGAAATATCTTCTATTGAAGAACACACGCAAAATCTACTAATACACAGTAAGGAAAAACTGACTACAAGGTTTTATATCTGATAAATGCTTTTGAAACAAGTTGACGTTTTATAAACAAACTAGAACAGTTCATTTTAAAGAACTCGGCCATTTTGACGGAACAGAAAACAGACACACAGAGAAAATATGTTTTAAACTGTTACGGAAAGCTGTTCTGAATTGTGGATTTCAGCGTAAAATATCACAGGAAATTTTTCCCTTGTCCACCAATGGTTATTTTTTTTTTCTTCCTTTATTCAAACAAATTCTTGCTCTTTAGGTCTCTGTGTTTTCCCTCCGACAAAGTGAAACATTGTTAATAAAATTTCTTATGCTTCTGACCTAGCCCATGTTACGTATTAGGAGGTAAAAAAAAGTATTTGTTTCTTAAGCGCAAATTATAGTGTAAAGTTCTTAATTGTTGTGCTTTTTTTATAATAAAATCATAAATATATGGGTTGTTGTCTTTTTCTGGTTTTACCTTGTTACCTTGGATTATTTATTTGTCAATGATCATTTAAGGGCTAATCACATTTATAGTCATATACTATCATTTTTTTACATTAAATCAAGGGGGAAAATAAACCTAGTTAAAGGCGGAGTGGACAGCTACAAATCTCTATAAATCAGGGCACTAAGGGGCACTTTGTTCAAGTTCGATCAGTGGATATGTGGAGACCTTCATCAAAGGCAAGACTACTGACCTAAATCCTTTCCTTAGTGGAGGCCTATATCTAAAAATACCTTAGGACTAGTGGACGACTAAATGTAGTAATACCTTGGGACTAGTGGAAACCTTAATTTAGTTATAGCTAAAGACTAGTGGATATCTATATCAAGTTAAACCGTAGGACAATTGGAGATTTAAATCTAGTTATACCTTCGGACTAATGGACGCCTAAATCTAGTTATACCTTCGGACGAGTGAACACTTAAATCTAGTTATACCTTTTGACTAGTGTGGACGCCTAAATCTAGTTATATACTTTTGGACTAGTGGACGCCTAAATTTAGCTAAACCTTTGGACTCGTGAACGCCCAAATCTGGATATACTTTATAATTACGACTACTTGACACTTAAATTAGTTATACCCTAGGACAAGTGGAAACTTTGATGTACTGCTATATACCTAATGTTTAGTTATATCAGAGTATACTAGCATCTTGATAAATTGTAGAAAAAGTGATTACATATACTAGTAGAGGAGACCTAGACCTGTAAGTCTCTACTACAGGTAGTTCATAGGACTTGACGAGTGGGTGCATTGCTTCCTTCTTAACACACTAGGTTAATGGTTCAAGTTATTAAAAGGTGAAGATAACGAACAATGATCAATCTCATAAATCTTCAAACAATCTGAAACGTGAACAAA